TTCTGATTATTAAATAAATATTTGTATTTGATTTGTCTTCAAAATTGAGAAAAATACTTAATAAATCATTTATTGACAATTAGATACCATTAAGTATTACATCAGCGGAACAGTGAATAAATGTTTAATTATTGAGGGAAACGTTAAAATAAACCTTCAACGATTATCTGTTGATGTATACATAAATCAAAATCCACTTTTATGAATATCAATATAATTAGATAAATATAATAAAAAAATACTGATTTAACGATGATATACTAATATTTTAATAAACGATTATCACGAAATGTGTACAAAACAATACATACTCTAATTGACACGATGTGGACTTGTCAAGACTACTGTTGATTTGAAACACTACAATGTCCTTGAACGAATCCAATAGAACAAACATAATGTCGCAATTAAAACAGGGCTTGGGCATTCATGTCTCGTTACAGGCCCACATTGTACAACTTTTTCAGTGTGGAAGCCCATGAGATATAAACGTGATGGGTTCACAATTTGGAATGATCCAGTATTGAGTGAGAGAGTCAACAACGTTGCCACGTACTATTACTCATTCTGCAATCCAAAGGTTCCCCCACTCAGATGGACGGTTTGGGTTTGCCACTCTACCTGCAGATAAGACTCACTAGCGATAAATCGGACGGTTGGATGAGCCCATCACCAGGATTCACTTTGGCATCTCAACAATATTGTATACTTGACTTCAATGCATGATAGCGACGTCGCAGGTGTGACCATGTTCCCGTACACTAGAATCTCTAATTTGACACTCAAGCAAAAGTAAAGATTGATCAGAAGGATCAGATAATGTGTCTGATCCCATTAGATCAACCATTCAATCAAAGAAATGGCAGAAAGGTTTTGACGGTCCAGATACGATACTGTGTTGTTTTTGGAAAAGAAATCGAAATCATGTTCTAATAAAATAAGGGAAAATTGCACTTTACTTTGAGGGTAGGATCAAAAGTTTAGTTGTTTGAAAATTACTGCAGGGTCCGTTTGGTTTGTAGGAATAGAGGTTTGGAATCGGAATTGGAATGGACTATTCTGATTTCAATTGCTTGATTGGACAGAATTGGAATCCTATTCCTATTCTTGCTGGAATGGCATTCTCTCATTTGAGGGAATGGCCATTCCCTACTCCTCTCTTGGGAATGAAATCTCATTCCTACTGATTTTAATTCACATTCTCATTCTTGTCTGAACCAAACAGACTATGGGAATGGATCATTCCGATTCCGATTCTGATTTCGACTATGAAACAAACAGACCCTTAAATTTTCAGAAAAGTGTTAAGTTGGTCCCTGTTATTAATCAATCATTAGTTATATGTTGAAACTACCCTTCAAAAGAAGATATTGTTCATTGTCTTCTACCTTGAGACTAAACTAGTTATCTTCAAAGAAAAAGAGAGAAAAAAACATAAAATATGATAGATGGAAACAATAACTAAAGGCAAAGAAATAACCAAATAAGAATGTGTTTCGGATCTAAAGGTAGAAGACAATGACTTCATTAGTCTAGAGTCTCAAACACCTCAATTGATTCAGTCTCGAGGTAGAAGACAATGAACAGTGTCTTATTTTGAAAGGTAGTTTTGACATTTTCAATAGATAACTGGCCGTCGGTTAATGACAGGGACCAACTTGACACTTTTTGAAAGCTTAGGTGTTGTAGTGACACATTTAAGTTCAGGTACTAACTTGACACTACCCCCAAAGTTCAGAGTACTAAAGTGGAATTTTCCCATAAAACAAATACATCCACAATCAGTTTGGGCCGGGATGGATGGGTCGGATTAGCCTCTATGTTGGTCAGTAAAGGCTAGCCCCTAACCCTAGGTTGGCCAAGTTGGGGTTTTCCATGGACTAAACGGGTCAATGGTTCAACCATATGAGTTAACTAGCCTTTGACCAAATCAAGGTTTTTACCAAAAAGATAGGTTTAATCATCCGGTTCAAATGGTTTGAATGGTTCAATCCTTCGTATCAACACCAATTTGAAAATGTTGGTATAAAATGGATGACCCAGCAATGACCCGTAGCCTGACTTACCCAACCTGATTTCTTTTTGGGTCAGGTCAGGCCATCTTGGGGTTGGGTCTATTTGACTTCTAATTCGGGTTGCTAAATAGGGGACCTCGCCCGCATTTTTTTGGATTGGGTCAAATTGGGTTCTAGAGTTGAATCGACTCTTTGCCAGATCTAAAATAAACTGCACCTCACATCATGGTTTTTAAAAACCGAACCGGTCAGGGGTTCGGTTACCAGGTCGAATGATCCGATCATTTGAACCGAATGATCAGCCCGTTCTAAAAAAAATAAAAAAACGGTCAAAACCGTTTAAACGGTTCGAATGATTAATTGCCCGGGTCAACGGTTTACTGACCAAAATCAATGATTTTAGGGAAAACTGAAACCAATCACCTGACCGTCCTGATTTTTTCGATGCAACCATCCGGTCCGGTCCGATTTTGAAAACCATGCCTCACATCACAATCATCCGACAAAAATTCTTGAGCAACCAAAGTCCTCAAAGGATCTCATCTATTCACTATTCTTTAAATTAAGAGGAATAAAATAATGATATATTATGAGCTTGATTCCGTGTAAGTTCTCATATACTATTGTTAAGTAATATTTATAGCAATCCACTAATATAGAAGATGGAGCCATGATTGCATCACAGACTCAAAAGGAAATAAAATAAAAAGAAAATAAAATATTATATATATATACATTGAGAGACAAAAAGTAACATCCATGCATGTTAATGTCCTATCCAACCCTACATGAATTGGGCTTTTGAGGTTTGTTAACATTTTTAGGCTAGATCAGTCAAACACAACTCTCTTAGCCATTTGTAGACCTGATTATGGGCCGGGATTTGGGTTCGGCGTATGAATAATTTAAACTGTTTAGGGCTAGGCCCATTCAAATGTGTTAAAAACTAGGCCCAAGCCCTCTACCTATTTCTAAATGTTTTTAATTTGCTGGTGAGTGTAGAGGATTAAAGTCCAACCCACCCATCTAATATGAATTTCAACCCACTATAGCTGGATTAAGCAGATTATTTATTTTATGGTAAAACTTTGATGGGTATCCACCCTTGAACCAAAGAAAGAGAAAGGACCAAATGCAGCCCCTCGATCCGTTTTTTAGTCCTCCTCCATTGAATAAATTGGGATGCTTCAAATTATGCTAAATGTCTGTGTCCTTCCTTAGACCAATCTGATGAAAAACCCAACTGTAATGGTCCAATTTTCAACTGGACCAAAACCTAATTTAGTAATGTGCTTCCTTCCTTTTTTTTTTCTGTATATATACACATGTTGGTAGGGTAAGAATCTCCTCATTACAGAATTGGTCCTCACACCCACCTTACAACCTCGATGGTTTCACGTCTTGAATATCTCTGTACTGTACTTGTATGTTTTTATTCATATGGGCTAAACAGCCTATTTATTTTATGGCGAAACTTTGATGGCCATCCACCCTTTGAACCAAAGAAAGAGAAAGAACCAAATGCAGACCCTCCATCTGTTTTTTAGTCTTCCTCCATTGAATAAATTAGGATGTATAATCCATGTAAGTAGAGAAATGAATAGGGCTGCTCATCTGTAATGAAGTTCCATGATTAATGCTAGCTTTCTGAGTGTGCTTTTGGAAAAAGAAAATTAATGTTAAATGTTTGTGTCCTTCCTTAGACCAATATGATGAAAAACCCAACGTAATGGTCCAATTTTCAACTGGACTGAAAACCTAATTTAGTAATGTGCTTCCTTCCCTTTTCTTTTCCGTATATATATACACATATTGGTAGAGTAAGAATTTCCTCATTACAGACTTGGTCCTCACACCCACTTCACAGCCCCGATGGTTTTACATCTTGAACATATCTGTACTTGTATGTTTTATTAGATGTTTCAAATGGATAAATGATGTAAGGTGAGTGTGAGGACCAATTCTACTGGAAGGAGATCCAGATTGGTTGAATTAAATCCATCTCAAACAATCGTTAAGAAATTGGTTGAATAAATAAGAAGAGTTGTTATGAAATCAAGGTGAATAATAAAAGAGGTTGCACATTATGTGTACCACACTGTTGACCAACTTACTCTTCTCTTTAATTGATTGATTGACCAATGACCATACTGTTGGGTGGGCCTTCATATAGTAGTTACACTTGCACCATTTTTTTGTAAACCACAATGGATTTTCTCTCTTTCTTCTTCCCTTCTTTTTATTCTATTTTTGATGTCTGTGTTGGGAATCAGCGTGCACCATTAACCCTAATTGATACAGTTTGTGTTTCTGTTCTGAAGCCCACGCCCAGATACATTCACGAGTTTTGATAAAGGTTTTTCGTCTGAAGCTAGATTTACTTGCCTTACCACTAGTAGCTAATAGCTACCAGTCTACCACAGGCACTTAGGAAAGGCCCTAGACCATGGACCACAATGAGAAGTGTGCCTTAGCAAACTGGATTGAAGAGAGAGACCCAGTGGTCCAAATGATCACAAGAGACCCTTTCGGATTTGAATAGATTTGATCCAGTCCCAGCCCAAAGGAGTGGGGACACGACATTTCCTTGATTATTGGCGGGTACTTTGCGTCACTCATGAGTGTTGAAATGGCCAGGGTTTGCCCGCCATACATGGTTCAGTAAAACTAAAATCATTCGTTTCAAAAGGTTTGAGAGACCAGCCCGGGACATCTTGGCTCCAATTCTCCCTGAACCTGACCCCAGTGTTCAATTCTGAAATCTGAATCTGAGCTTTTGGGTCTCCAGAGTCCAGACTCCAGTGACTCCAGTCCATCCATCCCCAACATTTCGTAGACCGTACGGTCGGTAGAGTGAGCCACACGTTAGTTATTACAATTCCCCAATAATAAAACTGTCATTAGCTAATTAACCTACTTATGAGTTGTGACCCATTTATTAAGAGATAAAAAGAGCACATCCAATAATACCGGTTCTATATTCCTACTGTTAATTTAGCTTTTTTTTTCGAAGGAAAGGAGAGAGGAGGAGCAAATAGTAGAAATTTTCAGTGACAGTAGAAGAAGATTCGAAGAACAGAACGATACATTAGCAGTGGAAGAAAAACAATAAAAAAATAATAGTAATAGGAGAGAGAGAGAGAGAGATGGTGAGAGTGAAGAAGCAGCAGTTTCAAGTTTGAAGAAAGATGGAAAGAGTGGAAAAAGGTGGAGAGGTGGCAGCAGAAAAGCAGGAATTTTTGGGGATAAAGTTGAAACGCGGGATTTTGGTAGGGAAAAGAGGGGGCCCCTGTACTCCAGTACCCACATGGAAACTTGGAGATATACAGGATAACACCATTAAAGACCCCCTCACGTTGCCCCCCACTGTCTCTGCTAGAAAGCTTGCCGCTAACCTCTGGGATATTCAACAGCACCTCCCGCTTGCTAAAATGAGCAAGGGAGGTGTAAGGCTTCGCCAACACAAGGGCAAGGGTCTTGAGCTTCCTTTGCGTTTGGCCGATCCTTCTCACAGCCCTCCTGACCAGGTACACCACTATCTCATTCATCCGCTTCGATGTTCTGGGTTGCTCTGATAACCACTATTGTTCTTTTACTTTTCTTCTAAATTTTCTGTTCTTTTTAATTTATTTTCGGGATCTTTGGTTGATGGGTTTATTTGGGTTTTCGGGGTTTGCCCCTTTTGTGCTGGAAACAAAATGGAAGAATTTTTCTATGCCTTCTTCTTGACGGTATCCTGGTATCTTTTTCCTTCAATTGCATGTCGTTAGAGCTTGTTGGTTTTATGACTTCCCCGTATTTTGTTCAATGAACAAGAAGGTTTCTTGATATTTTGCTCAGTTATTTTTTATTATTAGTCCCCTCGTGGGTCCATTTGGATTTTCTTCTTTTTAGCTCCACCCATTGGTCTCTGACAATCACTTCCTAGGGTTTATATAGTTCATCTATTAATTTATTGTTTTTTAATTGTTGTTTCTGTCATTGTTGGTTTGACATTAAAAGCTGTTACGTTCCACAGAGAAGTATACAAGTTAATTTTATGTTTCATTTTAGGGAGGATTTTAATTCCACGTGGTTTTCTTATTTTGTTCTTTTATGATCCTTTTGACGTTTTCAGGAACTGATTCTTTATTCATCTTAGTGAATTTCTGTCAAGACAGGCTCTGGTACTGACCTTGATGCATAGTTGATCATACTAGAACTCACTGTTCATAGGAAAAGTAGAGGACTAGATCTGTAATAGTCTTCTTTTATGCAATTGGAAAAATAAAAAATTTAGCTTCTATTTTAGAAGAGGCAACCCTTAATCTTTTTATCCTTCATTTTGGTATTCGATCCTGCAGTGGCATATCAAATGTTTGTGATTTCTCAAGTTGTTCAGGTTGGCTAGAGTTAAAACTTAGTCTGGTTTTATTACGGACAAATGTATATGATGGGGCAGAGTTCTTTCCTCAACAAGTCTGATCCTCACATTAGTGAACACTGCTCACTGATGCCCAAATAGCAATATCACCTTATCATTCTAATCTACAGCATATATTTTGAAGGATAAAAGAACAAATTCTTGGTTGCATAGGCTTCAACCCCAACTGAACCAAATCAATCTTAAGACCAGCTTGGCATTTTCAGGCCTTGGGCGAATAAAGGCAGAGATATATATTATGTAAGACATTATAGGGAATCACTGTCTGCCTCATTTAAGGGAGGTAGTTACCTCAATGCCCCAAGGTTCAGAAATAATTACACTTGGCCTTGTTCAAACTTCATGATATTAAAAGACAAGGATGCATCTTATTCAGGGAACTTTACTCTTCTGATAATAAATTTTAAAACAAAACAGCTATTTTTACAATAGTTATAGTTGGCCTTACTCCAAGTGATTAGGAATCAGAATTACCATAAATCTTTAAAAATGGAAAAAAAAAATACTTGACTAAACCCAAGTCAGCAGTCAGCATGGCCCAAATCAATGTCGTTTTAGGGATGTTGTTGGGCTAGGCCTAGGTAGGATATGGGTTGCCATTGCTGGACTTGGGTTGGAATCCAAACATGCCCAGTTTACCATCCTCCTTGGAATCATTCATTTAGTGTGTGTGTGTGTGTTCATTTAGTGTGTGTGTGTGTGTGTGTGTGTTAAGGCTATGCATCATCCAAGAAGATAAAAAGGTTCATATAACTAATTTTTAGCTCATTTTTCATACAGCCAGCAAGTGCTAGTAGTTTGAGGAGGCGTGTTGCAGCATCACTAATGCAGCACCATCAGTCAATTGAGAGGAATGGCCATGCCTTACAGCCTCTATCTCCTGCAAGTTATAATAGTTCAATGGAGGTAAACATCCCTGAATGTTGTTTACTTTTATAAATATTGTCTTTTTAGTAAAAAAGAATAATAGGAAGGATGGCATGCAATGTAGAAATAATGTCTTTTTACCAGGGATCAGTTGTTCTGGTCTGTTTGTAATTTGTTTTTAGTTTGGGAGGGTGCACCTTGCACCTCTCTTTGAGCCTTGTACTACTTTGTTTTAATTCTCTAATGGAATTTCCTTATTACTGATAAAAAAAGGATGGCATGCAATGGTAAGCATACATATGGAGAAATACATACATACGCCTATACAAAATGTATGTACTGTGATATGACTGTATCCACTATTCATTCATTTACACAATTCACAAAAAGGATCCTTTCCTCTTTAATTGTGCTTTGAATTCCTTCTGTACACCTGCCCATTTCACCAAACACCTTGCAATTTTTTCCAATTAATCGCTCAGGTTCTACCCCACCTGATTTAAGATCCTGCTGTTACACTCCAACCAAATGGTCCACCATAAAGTCCCAGGGAGCATCTGTCATAACCTCCTTCCTCTTCTACTGAAAACCTTTGATGGTCAAGCAGCAATCATAGAGTACAGATCACCTGGCATAACCAAAACTACTTTGAACAGCTGCAGGAAATGACATCAAAAATGATACGACACTGAGCACCAAATCAAGAGATGAGCAGCATCTTCAACTTCAGCTTGGCAGAAGATTCACTGATTAACAGTTGCGAGACCCTGGAAACAAGGTGGCCTGTGGTAGGAATTCTGTTAAGAAATTTTTTTGATAAGCAGAATTCTGTAAAGAATTGCAGTCCACAGAAAAATTTTCACTTTCAGAGACCATCCAGCCTTCCAGATCCAAGACCATGAGACAGATTCAGCTGAGTTAGACACCTAAAGATTTGAAGAAATATCTGACTGAAAACCTGCCCAAGCCTTCTAAAGGCCACCACATACTATCCTGCCTTGAAGAGTCAATTTGAACCTGCTGCAGCATACTTAACAATCTGGAGAAGTCCTAGGTTTCCCAGTCATTTAAGTTTTGCCTCAGTTGAGGGCCTCAGACCACTTGGTCACCAGCATTTCATAGTAGTCTTTTCTTGAGGCTTCTTTGTCTTGAGAGTTGAGCCAGCAGATGTAAGGAAGGGAAGGTTTCCTTGAGAGGTTGATTCTGAAGCCATGTATCACTCCAAAGGCAATCTGATCACCTTCCCTGATTTAAAAATGGCATTACTCCATAACATCTAATTCAGCTTAGATATGCCTTTCCATATGCTGATCCCATTACCATAAGAAATCTGAGCCTAAGCAAATTTGGTTCCAAGTCACAAGACAGGTGCTTCTCACCATCCAAACCATCCCATAGAAATCTCTTCAGATTTTTTTTTCTAGAGATTGCAGAATTGAAGGAGGGGCTCAATAAAATGAAAAATAATAAAGTGGCTGGTTAGAGAGCACACTATTTATCAGAATGACCTTACCACTCTTAGAGAGATTTTGTCTTTTCCACCCAGCTAGCCTTCTAATGAATCTTTCTATTACTGGGGTCTACGGGTCCTTTGGTTTATATTTAGCTCTGAGTGGAATTAGGGGTGTCAATGGACCGGTTTTGGGTTGGACTCCGTCCAAATCAAAATCCATTTGGACGGACCAATAAGACTAATTGAATTTGAACAGATTGGACAGTCTCTGGACCGGTCCAAAATGGTCCAAAATATTCATTGGACTGGATTGGACCAGGTCCATTTGTAGTGGACTCACATTGGACTGGACTGGATTAGACCAAATCCAGTCCAATTGACACCCCTGAGTGGAATACCCACAAACTTCGATGGTAAATTATCTCTCCAACAGCCTAGGGTGATTGCCAACTCATCATCTTGTGGCACATCCCCTATAAATAACTTAATTTTCTTAGGTAACTATCTAAATTGCAGTGCGGCAAGAATGAGTGAGCTATAACTTTTTATTTTTCTTCTATTTCATTTTCTCCTATTGGGATCACTAATGATAGACTTGGAAGATCCTTGTGTTAGAAAATGTGCAACCATTTGGTTTAAAATTGATAATTTTTTCATACTTATAGAAAAACTGATAAAAGATAATTAAGCCATCTAAAGTGAGTTCTTGATAATGAAATGCTAGTTAATTCATCCTTGGCAAGTAGATGGCAGTTATTATTGATGAATGGCAATTCTAAGAGTGCCTTCTACAAAGTGCAATACTGGATAAAATTAGGAAATATGATTCAATGTTATCCAAAACTTACACCTTTGACTCCTATGCATTACTACGTTAAGAATACCTTAGTACAGCTACACCATCTAGTCAAGAAAACTCAAGTTAAATAAAAAAGGTGGAAAATGCAGGGAAAGCCTTGAACAAAACTACCAAAATGTTCCAATTCTTGCTGATCAAGAACCAAAAAAAAAAAAAAAATCCAGTTCTTGAGTCTCATGGAATCATGAAAGCAAGATTTTGGTAGTACATATAGCCATATAGGTCCTATAGGCATTGCAAGTTCCATTCTGTCTAAACTAATATCTCTGTTACAAGTATTAAATCGACTGCTTCACTAGGAGATGAGAGCTGGGGAGATTCTCAAGTTGTAATATTTTGTTGGACTATGCTGTCTATTAAGCATGCTAGGTGCAGTAGTCTAGTAATTTTTTTCTTATTCTTTTGCTCTTTATTTTTTTAATAGAGCAACAAAATCTTGCAATCTGTATACTTGAAAGATAGCAAAAAAACAATGAAAGAATAGTACTAGGATGAAGAGAGAAACCAGAGAGAGAAGAAAAATTGAAAGGGAGTCAAAAAATGAGTTAGGGGTGAGCATTATTCGGTTGTATTATATTATATATTGAAATACATAATTTATTATATATATTGTACTATAATATATGTTTTTTAATATATAATGCATATATGATATATAATATATATAATGTTGAATTTTGGTTTTGGTTATTTTGGTTTCGGTTTCAGTTTTCCATTTAAAATTTCGGTTTTAAAAATTTTGGTTTATTCAATTCAGTTTTTAACCAAATAAACCGTTTGCTCACCCCTAGATTTCATTATATAGTAGACACAATTACAATAAAGTGCCTAAAATACCCCTGCCACCATAATTTCTTAAGTGATGTGGTCCTGGTCTGTAACAACCTATAATTAAGTTATTAAACAACTAATTGGGCCTAATAAGAGATAGCACCCAGGCCTACTACCCAATAAATAATATAAACACAATAGCAGTCCAATAAATAATGTAAAAACAATAACAGCCCATAAATCTCAACACTCCCCCTCAAGTTGGGTGTAGATATTTGTTGTAATTCTGGTAGTGTGCTGCAGGGGTGTTTTAGTCCTTTCTTTATTCTTTTTTATTGTAAACTGTCGCCCTAAGTATATGTTAGCAATAGTAGCACCGCCAACTCATACTTTTGGTGGTTTCTTCAATTTTCTTCTCTTTCTTCTTCAAGCTGCATTTTAAAGGCAATATAAGGTAGACACACTTCACCAGATGTCACTCTTTCCCTGATAAAGTGCCTATCTACCTCTATGTGTTTGGTTCTGTCATATTGGATTGGGTTATGGGCAATGTTGATGGCGACCTGATTGTCACTGTGAACAGATCGATTAGCCATAGATTAGTTCTAGGTTAGAAGAAGAAGAAGAAGAAGAAGAAGAAGAAGAAGAAGAAGAAGAAGAAGAAGAAAAGTAACTCCTCCCAGTCGACCCACTTTGTATTTATATTGTATAAGCAGAATTACAAAAGATAGTATTGTCCCTCATTAAGGATGGGACACAGAACTTAAACTTGAATAAAACAGACCATTCACTCTCTCAATTAGATAGACAAAGGACCAAAATACCCTTGTACTATCAACTCTAACACTCCCCCTCAAGCTAGAGAATATATGTCATATAGTCCCAGCTTGTCACATATGTAATCTACTCTGCCCCGAGACAGCCCCTTTGTAAATAGATCTGCCCACTGGTTTCCTGAACTTACATGAGCTGTAGTTATCACTCCATCGATCACTTTTTCTCTTACAAAGTGGCAGTCGACTTCAATATGCTTTGTTCTCTCATGGAAGACTGGATTAAAAGAAATGTGTACAACAACTTAATTATTACAGTATAACCTCATGGGTCTGTCAATTGAGAACCCCATTTCTTGTAACAAATTCTTCAGCCATACTAGTACACATGTAGTATGAGCCATAGCCCTGTACTCAACCTCTGCATTGCTCCTTGCTACCACTGTTTGTTTCTTGCTCTTCCAAGTTACTAGATTGCCACCAAGGAAGGTACAATATTGTGTAGTTTACCTTTTGTCTGACACAGATCCGGCCCAATCAACATCTGTATACCCTTCTATCTCAAGAGTTCCTCCACTTTTGTATAACAAACCACGGCCTGGAGCACCCTTCAAATATCTTACTATTCTTAGAACTGCTTCCCAATGTGGAACTCGAGGATGTTGCATAAACCGACTCACCATACTTACAACAAATGATATATCTGGCCGTGTGATAGTTAGATAGTACAATTTTCAAACCAACCCCCTGTACCTTCCAAGATCATCAAACTTTTCACCTGCATCAATACTCAACTTAGCATTCGATTTCATAGGTGTTTTGACTGGTTTGTCACCTAACAACCTTGTTTCTTCAAGTAAGTCAATGACTTATTTCCTTTGACACAAGTTAATTCCATGCCTTGACCTTGCAACTTCTATTCCCAAGAAGTATTTCAGCTTACCAAGATCCTTCGTGTGAAAGTGATCCCATAGGAAGTTTTTCAATCTGTCAATCCTATTGTTGTCACTGCTAGTTATGACAATATCATCCACATACCATTAGCAAGATTTTTCCATCTTTTGAGTCATGACTGAACACAGAATGATCTACTTGACATTGTTTCATCCCAAAGTTCTTCACTACTTCACTGAATCTACCAAACCACACACATGGAGATTGTCCCATAGATTGTCTTTTTAAG